ATATATATATTTATAATACAAAAATGATTAAAATACCTTTCATTAAAATATCTAATATTATATAAAATCTTTCAAACTCATGATGCACGTTAGGATGAAACATCGAGAGCATGTTAGTTAGAAAATGAAAATGAGTACTAGAATGCAATTTTCTAAATAAGTCATCAATATGCATAAAGGAAACAACAACAAAAAATAAAATAAAGTAATGATGTCATGTTGAAGGCGATGAGTTATGAGATGAAATCAATCACAATGTGCTTTAAACGCTCATGAAAGATTGAGTTGTGGGCGTGTGAATGACACTCTTGTTGTTCTAGTGTATAGGAGTGAGTCCAGAGACAGAAACACCCATATCAAAGAGTAGTCAACATAACCAAATTATCTCAACAATAGTAGAAGCCATGGTGCGATATTCATCTTCTATAGAAGAGTGAGAGACAATATCTTGTTTCTTGCTCTTCCAAGAGATAAGAAAGTCTCCTAGAAAAATACAAATCTTGTGGTAGACTTATGCAATAGGGTCACTAGCCCAGTCAACATCAGAGTAAGCATGCAACTCTAAAGAAAAAGATGAAGGAAATATAAGGTTTTTAAATTGAGTGCCTTGGAGATATCTAAGAATGCAAAGAAGGGTTGCCAAATGCATTATAATAGGAGAGCTAACAAACTAATTGACAACATAGACAACTTAAGTAGTATCAGGCCTAGTAATGGTGAGGTACACCAAGCTGCCAACCAATGTAGATACAAAGTGGGATCAAGTAAAGGGACACTATCAAAAAGAGATCTTTTTCATTAAGCTCAAGAAGAGTGTCTATTGCTCTAGTATCATAAAGGCGTGGCCCTTCAAGAATGTTTGCAATATATAAATTGAGGGAAAAGATAACCTCTAGGAGAGTAGGCAATTTCAATCCCCACGAAATAGTGAGAGGACCTAAATCTTTCATCAAAAACTGTCTAGCTAATTACAATTTTAAGTCTACAATCCCATCATCATCCTAATAATAATCATGTCGTTAACATATAGGTAAATTATTATACGACTATGTGAAGAGGTCTTCAGAAACAATGTAGAATCATTATCACTAGGGCAGAAGCCAAGAGATGCAATCACAATGAAGAATCTCTCAAACCAAGCTCGTGGAGCTTGTTTAAGATCATAGAGAGACTTCCTTAATGAATAAATTTATCACATTCATTTGAAAGATATGCCACTAACAAACAAATGCAACTACAATAAGGGTGTAAATGGTAGTTATCTTAGCAATTGGAGCAAAGGTTTTTGCATAATCCATACCATATTGTTGTGAGAATCCTTTAGCAATAAGATGGACTTTGTAACACTTAACTAACCTATCAAAATTGGCTTTAATTGTGTGGGCCCACCGAGATCCAATAACATGTTTTCTCGGAGGTCTCTTTTTTTAAAAAATAGCTACCAAACATGGGGAATTGATATTCTCACTTTAAGATTCCCAATAATGTAAAAATATTTCGCGTACCAAACGCCCCTTAGGGTCATATGACATGTGATGTAATACTCCAGAATTAAGAACCTATATTGGAGAAGACATACCTAATGAACTAAAGGAAGGCAAACCTTTTAGGTAGGAGGTAGACATGGCATGTGACTAAGAAGTAAGAAATTTTCGGAACAAATTTGCAAGATCAACAACTTGAGAGGTGGTTTTAGTAGTGAAATTGGGTCCAACAACAACATTTGATGATGGAGTTCTAAAGTTTCTCTAGATTGATTGATTGGAAGGGGGATGCCATTGAGATTGTTGTTGTGACTTTAATAATTTTGGACATTGTGTTTTTCAATGACCTTTCTCCTTACAATAGTTGCATCATGACCAATCTTTCTCGAAGACTTACTTTTAATAAAAGAAGCAGCAAACATAGATGGTGGAGTAGAGAGAATTCCTTTATCAAAACCAGAGTTGGACTTCAGTCGTATTTCTTCTGCCAACAACTCATTAACCACAACATCAACACTAGGAAGGGGAGAATGGTGTAAAATCATTCCATGAAGCCCTTCAAAATCATCTCGTAGGACCATCAAGAACTAAACCAAACATTGTTTCTATCTAAAATTAGTATACATCGAATGCACTTGCAAATATGTTAATTCTTTAAGTATCAAATATGGTGACAACCATTAAAGTAGTGGAATTGTATCTGAGAAAGAAAACTCAGAAAAGAAGAAGAGATGAGAAAAATATAATATTCATTCAATGATTTTGTGTATCAAAACAAAACTAATCAAAATCATTTACAGAATTGCCTTTTATAAAGGCTAAAATAAAGCTAACTATAATGGTTAGTTAACCACAGTAACTAACTAGAGTTAATCAACTAAGATCCACCTCAAGCTAGGATGGATATCATACATTCCAAGCTTGACATACAAAAATTTGAAGGCAGCAGGAGAAAGTGCTTTGGTGTAGATATCTGCTAATTGGTTTGCTGAGGTAACAAGAAGAAGTTTCACCAAACCATTTTGAACTTTTTCTCTAATAATATAACAATCGATTTCAATGTGTTTGGTACGTTCATGGAATATAGGGTTTGCATAAATGTGTAAAGCTGATTTGTCACAATATAAAATGGTTGGTTGAATGAATGAAATGCCAATGTATTTTAAGAGGAAAGTGAGCCACTGCAACTCACAAACAAAACTAGCCATTGCACGGTATTTAGCTTCTAAGGAGCTTCGAGATACAGTAGCTTGTTTCTTGGATTTCCATGAAATCAAAGAAGAGCCAAGGTAAACAGAGAAACCAGTAATCGATCTTCGAGTATCTAAACATCCAGCCCAATCAGAATCACTAAATGCTTTAAGCTGTAAAATATTGGATGTTGAAAAGAAACTCCCAACTCCAGGTGAGCCTTTAATGTACCTCAGTATTCTATTAGCTGCTTGCTGATGTGCTGTTGTAGGATGTGAAACACACTGACTTAGATGTTGTACAACATAAGAAATGTCAGTTCGAGTATTGGTAAGATAAATGAGTCTGCCAATTAGCCTTCTAAAAGAGGAAGCATCAACATCAGAGAGTGGTGAACCAGCTGTTTGGTGAAGTTTTGTAGTGTAATCTGTTGGTGTGGAGACAGGTTTAGAGCCAAGCATTCCTGAATCAGTTAGTATGTCAAAGGCATATTTTCTTTGACAAAGATTGATGCCAGAAGATGACCTTGCAACCTCAAACCCCAAGAAAAATCTTAAGTCTCCCAAATCTTTAATTTTGAAAGCAACATCAAGTAATTGAGTAATATTTGTAATTTTAGCCAAGTCATTTCCTGTCAACACTATATCACCCACATATACTAGTAGTGCAGTAAAAGAATTGAAATTATGCTTTAAAAATAATGAATAATTAGTAGAACATTGTTTGTAACCATGAGAAATAAGGAAAGTGGATAGTCTACCATACCACTGCCTGGTAGCCTATTTTAAGCCATATAAAGATTTATGCAATCGACAAACCTTATTCGATTGATTTTTGATACATGCCAGGAGGAAGTGTCATGTAGACCTCTTCATGGAGGTCACCATGAAGAAAAGAATTATTCACATCAAGTTGTTTCAAGTGCCATTTCTGAGTGGCAGCTAAAGAAAGAATAAGTCTTATTGTGGTGAGCTTAGCCACTAGAGAAAAAGTTTCTAGACAATCTTGACCTTCAATCTGTGTATATCCCTTAGCAACCAATCTAGCTTTATATCTTTCTATAGTTCCATTAGCTTTGTGTTTGATCTTATAGACCCATCTACATCCAATAGCTATTTTAGTAGTGGTAATTCAGTGAGAGTCCAAGTATGGTTAGATTCAAGAGCTTGTAATTCAGAATTCATGGCTTCAATCCAATGTTTATGTTTAGAGGCTTCATTGTAGGATTTGGGTTCATGAACTGCAGAGACAGATAGAACTACCTTTCTATAAGAGTGTGAAAGTTTTGTATAAGAGAGAGCATTACCAATAGGATATTGCTTCCCTGAGAATTATGGAGAACTTGAAGACAAGAGTTCGTATGATAACCAATAAATTTGTTGGGCTGTCGTGACTATCTTGAGGACCTTCTTAACTTCATGG